GATGGGCATTTTAGCATTTTTTTATTATGCCACTATCTCACATTAGAAGTTTATAAAACCATTGGAGAGAAATGTATTTGTAAAAGACACTATCCCACATTAGAAGTTTATGAAATCATTTGAGAGAAATGTAACTACAAAAGTAGTATGACATCCAATATTTCTCTATGGGCCTTTGAATTCAATTGTAGTTTATGAGACCCATTTATGAAGTTAAAAGATTAAAAAAAAATTGAAAAAACCACAAAACTGCAACTAGTTTACCTGTTTATGGTTAAATCAGTCGTTTCAATGGTTTTGTCATAATTGTTTAATCGAGCATGATTGGCTCGATTTTAGGCCCAGTTCCTGATTTTATAGGTCGAATTGGATGGGCCAAGCTAGTTTTGACAACATTGACCTTGACAGATTAGGGAATTTGTGCAAATTGACAGACATAGACTGGCCTAATTTAGAGGTATATATACTAGTTCTTAGTTGCATTTACTTTTTTTTTTTTTTTTTATGGGAAGTAATACTTCCCCATTTATTGATTTCCTTTTATTTTTTGACATTTGTTGCTATGTTGCATTCATGAGATTGGGTTTATGCCCCCTCCTTTCATGTGTCTATATATTTGAGGAATCCTTAACCCCCATTAATTTTCATTAGTGTATCATAAAAACTTACTATGGATGTATGTATGTCTTTGGTAAAAAAATACATCTAATGAGATAGTACTCTTTAGATAAAATATTTGTAGAGTCCAGGACTGGACATGGTCTGGTTCGATTATTTAGTAAATGAAATTGTTGGGTTCAAATTTAATTATGGAATCTTACGAGTTCAGTTTCGTTCAATTCAACTCTATTTAGTTCTTGAGTTCTGTACAATAATTAATTTGTTTTAATATTTACAATAACGCTACATTAATTTAACTAATAATATTTTCAATTTTAGCTCTTACAAAATAATATAGTTCAATTTTATAGCTTTTGTGCCTCTTATTGTTGAGTTCTTCACAAATTTGACTATTATAATCACAATAATGAAGAGAGATGCAGCTGAGCTTTCAATTCGATTTTCCAAAATGGCAGAAACGGTATTATGGTAGAATAAAAATTTTGGGCAAATCTTAGGTAAATTTGACTAAATTGGGTTTGGGCTGAAAAATAGAAATAGAAAAATCATATTTCAGGGTTGGGCTAAATTAATTTGTTAACAAATTTATTTAAAAAAATAAAATAATTTTGTTTATTTAAGATAAAAAAATTAGAGAGATCCAATCCTTTTTCAGTTCTTCTGTTCTTGATCTAGAATCGAGAGCCAAACCAAACATATAGGTTCTCGATTCAAATGCTCGTTCGGGTATTTAGCTTAATAAGAATCTCTCTGTTTGGTTTGAGTTCGATTTGGTTAGTTCGGTACGAAAATTTTGTCCAACCCTAGTAGAGTCATAAAACTTCTCAATTTTTTTTTTTAAATTTTAAAATCTAAACTCCATTCAAATTCATTCAAAACAATGTCATCTTCGTTTCTAATAAACCAATTGTTATAAAATTCAATTGTTGATGTTCATACACTTCGTATGATTTCAATAATAAGTAATTTGAATTCCATCTGTATCCTATGTCACTAATAAATCTTTTTGTAGTCGTCACTCGAAATTCAGCACAAAATTTCTCGAAAGCTTGTTTTTTACAAGGTGAAATCATGATATATATTATTGCATCCCTAATTCTTTAAATTTAATTCTGAATATGTTTTAAATAATCTTGCACAATTAAATTAATAATACAATAAACACAGTGAACATGAAAAAAATAAGTACCAAAATCAGGCTGTAGTACCTAAATAATTTATCAACAAATGGCTTACTAACATTACATTATTAAATGTAAAAGAACGAAATTTATTCTCGCAAAGATATTCTCTATTAATGTAATAATAAGAGTCAGATATAATGTTTCCATTGTGCGGGAACTCAACTAGGGCTGGATATGGTCCGATTCGATTCGGTTCCAATGAGAACCGAAGTGGATCCGAAATTTTTGGGCATTTAGTAAGTAGAACCGTCAGGTCCAAATTTAATTATGGAATCGTTCGAGTTCGGTTCTATTCAATTCAGTTCTATTCGGTTCCCAGATTCTGTATTATAGTTAAATTTTTTAATATTTATAAAGTTACATTAATTCAATTAATGATAATTCAATCTTAGCTCTTACAAAATAATATAGTTCAATCTTATGTGTCTTTTTCGTTTCTATTTGCTGCGTTCTTCATAGATTTAATTGTTAAAATCACAGGAATTGAAAAATAACGAACTCAAAATAATTAAGAGAGGCATTATCGAGTTTCAATTCGATTTCTACAAAATGATTGAAACGACACTATGGTAGAGTATTAGATTTAGATAAAACTTAGGTTAATTTGATTAAGTTAGCTTTGAATTGAAAAATTAGAAATAGGGAAAATAATATTTTGGATTTGAATTAAATTAACTAGTTAGCAAATTTATTTTAAAAGTAAAATCATTTGGCTTATTTAAAATAAGTTAATTAAAAAATTAGAAAGATTCGATTTTTATTCGGTTTGTGATCTAGAATCGAGAATCGAACCAAATCGTCGATTTTCGATTCAGATACCTGTTTCGGTATTTAACTTAAGAGGAACCGCTCGGTTTGGTTCCGGTTTGGTTCGAAAGTTTTTTCCAGCCCTAAACTCAACTATTTTAATAGCAATAATGTTTTTGCATATAACAAGCCCCCGTTTGACCCTCATTAATTTTGATTATAATGGGGAATAATATTTTTTTGAAAAATGGAAGGTTGTAAAAGAATGAAAAAATTTCGATTTACGTGTAATATTATTTTATTAAAGATTGTGTGGTTGAAAATATGATAGGGAAAAGTGTAATTTAATTTGATGAGAGGTAACGGGGGCTAAACGGGGGCCAAAGTGATGCTATGTAGTATGCAATTGTAGCTATATAACCTCTTTTATTAATCACTTCCCATAAATCCAAAGTTAAGAACATAACATGACCATATATTGGCAAATTAGTAATTAATTGTTTCCTTTGTATTAAGGAAATATTATATTGTATCGAACGAAGAGTATATCTACTTACCTAAACATACCTTAGCTAAATATATTCTTTCAAGTAGGAGACGAAATGTTGGTTGTTCGCTACTGCTAGAGGCAACTTGGCACTGGCAATGAACCTACAATTCCCGTTCGACTTTTATCCTCCAAATACGTTCATATGCAAAGTGTCGTGGAGGTAAAATCGATGGTCAAACTACCAAATTATAGTTGCAGCTGAGAGCCAACAAACCCATGTTTAGCTGCACAGTTATTGTAGTGACTATTGAGGTAGGATATTTATACCAATTTGCTATGCCAATCGCATTTGATAGTATTTACATACCGCTTTACACTCTACATTTCCATTGGCCATACGTTCCACTGAAATCAACTTAAAGTGATTACAACATTTTACCCCTTTAGCTTCCCTCGTGCATTGGGAATATCTAGTTTCGTCTATTTTGTTTTGAAAATATTGTGGATTCATTTGTGATGGATTGATAATATAGGAACTAGAATGAAGATGAGCAATGAATGAATATGTAGAAAATTGGATAATTGTAAGATTGTAAATTGTAATGACAATGTGTATAAGATATAATATAAAGAATATGTATTGTAATTTGTATAATAACTAAATAATTGATTGAAAACCATAATATATAGAGAAATAATGAATAAAATTGAATGTATATTGTAGATTGTAAAATAAGAGTATGGAAGAGAGTAAGAATTATTTTTGGTGTTTAAAAAATTGTTAAATAGGTAGGGTATTTATACAAAAAAGAACGAAAAAATAAGGGCCAAACGATTAAAAAAAATAGTTCAGTGACCGTTGCCGATTATGGTCATTGAACTATCTATAGTGACCAAAACGATCACTGTAAATGGCTAGCCACAAGCTAGGCTTGTGGTTCGTTGAGTCTGTTCCTGGGTTAGTTCATAAGCTTGACTCGTGTCGCCCACGAAGCAAGCTGAGCTAATTCGGCTAGCATAGTGAGCCATTCTGCTTGGGTCATGTTCGGGCTCATCCATGGACAAGTCCAGTAGCCCACGAGCCGAGCTTTTATAAGTTGAGTGGCCAGGCCAACTAGCCTGTTTGCCATTGCTAACCATACACCTCCTAGATTTCAAGCAAACATTATTTTTCCTAATTAGTTTTATGCTTATTGCATAATTTACACCTGAGTGACTTATCTAAAGAATATTAACAATTTTAGAGTTGTGTTGAAACAGATTAAAAGTAATTAGAAATATTGTTCAGTCAATTTGCTTCTGAACTCACTAAATATTAGTAACTTAAAATTTTTTACTATTTCCATGAAATTTAAATTTTATAGTAACAACCTATTCAACGCCACCTTCTAAAAATTTATAAATAATTTAATTTATAAATAGATAACAATAAGTTATAGATAAGTGAATAATAATTGTGGATCCATTGAAATGTGCGATTAAAAATAAAGTTTGATAATATATGTAAGAATAATTTATAATGTTTTCATTTACAAACTTCCTTCATCTACTCTTTTTCTTTTCATCAGAACTACTTTTGTCCAACTTTTTGAACTTGAGAGGATGCCACATTCTTTTGTTTGAATCTTCACCCACCACAGGCAAAATGAGTTGAGACATGCCATCTATCCAATTACTTCTCGACACATCATCAATTTAGTAAGTTAGTACTTAGTAGTGAAGTTAATGAAAGTAAATTTGAGATAACATGTTAATTATAGATGATATATTAAAAATTAATTGAATGAGCAACAAAATGAACAGTAAAATTTGACAGTAGATCTTGACTCAAGTAAAACACTATTTCCTTCTCACAGACAATTTGAGAGCAAGTTCATTCCCACCCCCCACCCCCCCAACGTCCCACACACTCAAACATAATATATATATTATGAAACAAAAAGATAATAGGTCCTCGATATCCAATAGCAGCTCCAGCTAATGACTTGGGTGGACCCAAAGCTAAAGCTAACTAATACTTGCCCTTGTCATATTCAAGAAACAGACTTACACAAAAGTTTACCTAGTAATAATATATGTAACTTAATCAAAGGTGAAAAAAGTGAAAGCCAAAGAAAAAGAAAAGATACATAGAATTAACTCATTTTCACTCCAACTACGTAAGACGAATCAGAAAAGAAAATCAATTTCCTCAGCCTCAGCCTCAGCCTCAGCCATCTTCATCATCAAATAGGCCGGACCTAGGTGAAACTTCTAGGTACACTGTCTGTTCCAACAATATCGTCAAATGGGCTGAGGAATTTCAAGATTTTCTTTGCCGATTTCTTGAATTTTTCTTTTCCTTTTTGGCTTTTTTCTTTTTAAGTTTATCTGGTGAAATCATGAACGAAATTTGGCCTGTCTGTGACATTGAATCGCCAAGTGCGGAATGGAATGCCATTTTCGGATTCATGATGATCATTTTCTTCAATGAACCTGAATTCATTAGCATAATTTGATGAAGAAAAACATGGCATTTTCTCGTGCTGTGAATGGTGATGAACCCATGAACTGTTATTGGCAGCAGCAGAGCCGCCGTTATTGACGGCGGTGGCTCTCCTCTCTTCCTTCTTGAAACGAATCCCACAAGCATTGCATAGAGACTGCATGCAATTCATCATCAATCCACATCAGTACCCAAATGATAGGACGAAAGAACTAGTACGAAAACCGAAACTATTCGAATTCATTTCTTTGCAGTCAAGTAGAAGAAAATGTAAGAAAATTATTAAAAATACCTTTGGGCCACGTGGACCGTTCCTCCAGAGGGGAGTAGAAGTAGTGTCACAATTAGCACATCGGCGGGCTAAAAGAGGGTCTCCACCACTGGAACTGGTGATGCTATTACTTCCACCACGGTGTTTCCCGGCGGTTGACGGTGGTTTGGACTGCAATATGTTCCACCCAAAGTTAGACATGCAAGAGTATCGTTTCTTTTCATTTTCATTGGTCAGTCGAGTCGAAGGAGTGCCCAGAGAAAGGGTGCAATCCACAGAAGATGAAGCAGAATACATATCCCCATGATCATGATCAAACGGTTTAGAATTGGGAGATGAAAAGATCATTGAAAATGAATTGTTTGAAGTGTGATACAGACCACAAGAACATTGCCCGCAAGAATTATTGCATCTCTGCATCATTTTGATGAAGGATTTTTCTGGGTCGGGAAGATGAATGTATATAATGACAGAGGTGTACAAATGCAAACAGCAAAAACGTACGTAAAAATAGTATGTTGAGAGTGATGTGTAATTATAAAATGTTTGAACTGAAGCTTAGGATTGAGAGCTGCTACATTGTGTGTTGGATGCATGAATATATATAAGCAGGTGGGGTGGTTTGGGTGGGGTAGGAGTTTTGGTTTCGATTGGTCCTTGGGCAGTCAAAAGAGCCCACGTGAATAGGGGGAACAGTCTTCTATGGATCTGCCTTCTCCGATCACGAGGAAACGATAGTCTTAAAAACCCAATATTACATCGGACTAGTATCTGTATCTTTGCACTGTCACCTGCCAGTCTCCCAAGACAAACGGAATTGCCCTAACCCCATCCAACCCAAGTCCTACTCACGGGACTAAACACCTTGATTTTGCCCACTTATTCCTTTAGTAAATTGTCTTTGTGATGATTTAATATACACGTATGTGTGATTAATGATTATATATAGATAAAACTCTATCTGACAATTGAACGTAGTTTTTGTTGAAGGGCAAAAGAGTAAAGATCTAAACTCCAAATCGTTAAAGTATGATGGTATACGTGTGATTAAGATGTGGACATGCCTTTGACCTCGATTTTGTTGTGCCCATGAGGCACACAAATAGAGAGCAAGCGACTTGCTCTTGTTGAGCAATGCTTGACCATGAAGGTACGACCAATCCTAGCTCCTAAATGGTTGAGTACCACCCAAAACATGGTCATGACTTTGATGTTCACATTTACACCGAGCTCGACACCAACTCTTCGAGCACACACACTGTAAATACTAAATACAATATGCATGAGTTAGATACTCCAACCAATCATCCGAAGAATTGATTTCATGATTTACATGATGAGAATCAATATTTATAGATCATAAGTACAAAAATTTAAATGGACAATCCCCAACCACGAATAAAACATTATTACTAACCTAACCATCAAACGAATTTCAAAAGAATTTTTTGCCTCTTTTGTTAGTTCCATCAAAAGACCCTCTTTGTAACTTCAAATTCAATATTTGTTCCACCAATTATATCACATATAAAGTACTACAAAATGTCTATTTTCACCTAAATTCTTAGTAACTTTTTAGAAAAAATAATAAGAGTCTAACAAAATGTGTGGATAATAAATGAATAGTAACTATGAATGTATAGATAAAATAAATTTGACTTTGACTTATAGAAAAATGAACTTCCACTCATTACTACGAGTACATCGATCGTTCTAAGGTAGTCAATCCATCCATCAATATTGTACATACATATGAAATTACAATAAAAGTACATAGCTCACAAACAGTTTAAAGCTTATTACAATCTTTAGCCGTACCTAGGAATCATCTTAACATAGCAATGCCAATGGTCAAAAGTCCAAAATCCATATCCAACATCAAAAGTTTTCTTTGGTCTAATACTAGATACCAAGCAAGTGTTCAATACATTGAGCAAAATTTTACAATAAGGGTGTCAAAATAACTTGATCTCTACTTTTCGACAGTCTAATTTGACTGGAATGGCACAAACTATATTTAAACTAAAATTCCAACGAAATTAATTATTTTAAAAAACAAATAATCATACAAATTAAAGTAGAGATGAAAATAGATCGATCTGGGCACGAACTAGGGTGCCATGTCCCTCGTGCTGGGGATTTCCATGCTTCGATCCTTGCCTATGACGGGGGAGGTTTAGCCAACGCTTCGTCCCTTTTATGATGTTTCTTTGCTTTTTCCGTATAAATTTTATTTTTTTGTGTCTCAATTATTGAAGTTTTTGCTTTCTAAAATAATATAAAATATATAAATAATAACATTAAAAAAGTAAAATGGGATGTAGCGGGGATTTCCCATCTCCACCACAGGGAAGCAAGCTCTCGCCCGAAACCATTACGTCGAGGCTCAAGTTTGGCCTCACAAATTGTCTTCTCCGAACAAAAGTGTCACTATCCAATCATGACCTTAAAGAAGGGTCGTGTCAAGTCAAGATGGGATCACTTCAAAATTGGATATCTAACTTTGAGCATGTTTTGCAATTGAGTAATTTTATTATAAGTTTTGATATCCACAATGTGTGGATTAAAATGAACACGGTTATGTAATGATTTTGGATATTAACATTCAAATAGATAGACACAAAACAATATATAGGGAGGGGGGAGTGAGAAAAGTATCATTGGAATGGGATAATCTGCAATGATCAAAGCAACATGTGGTGTTGTAATTTTAGAGAAATCTTTGACTCAAATGATCAAACTTAGAAAAGAAAAGCTATAATATTCGCCTGTCAATGCATCTTAAAATTATTGAAAATATGTAGATACGGTGACAAAAACAAAACAAGAGAAAGGGCCCCACACTCATCATAACCCAAGTAAGAACAAACTCCTCTAGAATATCGATAGATTCGATCTAAAAAATTCAAAAGAAAAATAATTTATATATATATTCAGAGAGAGAGAGAGAGAGAGAGTCAGATCATCTCGAGATTGGCGTCTGCAGTTGGACAAACGGGAAAATCACCGGTTTCCAAAATATGCTCTCAGTTCTCCTTATAAAACTTTGAACAACCCAAGATTATGTTGGTGCGCTCACACACGCAGTACGCTTCACTATTCAAGTATCCATTTGTAAAATTAATTTTGGGGCGGGGGTAATGCTCGTCGATAAGCATTGATGCAGCATGTTTGAAAGTAATTATAAGTTTAGGATCCTACGAAATTTGTGAATAAAAAATTGATAGTAGTTGTGAGTTTTTTGAAGTCTATAAATAAAAATATGTTTAATTAGCTTAAATTATAATTTAAACTCTGACAAATATACAATTGACTACCTGATATTTGACATGCTGAAAACAAGAAGTGACGAAACTTACTCTTACAAGAACCTACCAAAGATGGCAAGCATTGTTCATCAATGCTAAAAGTTGTCCTTCGAGAGATGAAAGGGAGTATCCATCATTAAACATAAAAGTAACGTTGCTCAATCATACGACGACTAAAAGTATATGCATTAGGTTGAAGCACAAGCGAGAAAGATGTCTCCACTCATACTATCAAGTAGAATGATCTATAGACGATCACTTGCTATTTGTATCATTGGCCAATACCAAGCAAAAGCCCAAGACTATTGAGGTTAAGTAATCACCTATGCATCTATGGAAGGTATGGAACTGACATGGAGTCTAGAAAAATTTTGAATTTGACTCATGCCAACTATAGCATTCAAGATGACCTCATCATGGAAAGAGCATCTTGTGCATCGCTCCGAACGGGTGGAGCCCTTAACCTTGCCTACAAAAGATGCCTCATGACCATCATCTTCTCCCACACATGCAAAAACTCTACCAAAATCACTACACATACTCAAAACATGTACATTTAAGCAAAATTAGTAAATTTATTCACTAAAGATACACGTAATTCTCAACTTATGGTTTCGGTTGAATTTTAGCCCTTTTGATATTTTCGTTTGTCACGTAAGTCTCATCTTAGACATGTCACCAAATTCTTTAAATTGTGTTCAGCTCATTATCTTTGCTTGTAGGACGCTCTTTGTAAACAAGTTTATTATCTTGTTGGGATAAGCTTTTGATATCCTTTTCTTGGTCCACTCCAATGGGACAAATTACAGGAGCTAGGGGTAGTAGCTCTCTTAGGTTTCAGCCCACCTCTAAATATGGAAATTATTATTATTATTATTATTATTATTATTATTATTATTATTATTATTATTGTTATTGTTATTGTTATTGTTATTGTTATTGTTATTGTTATTGTTATTGTTATTGTTATTGTTATTGTTATTTCGTCTCGATATAACTTTTTAACTTACGTCAACATGATTTTTTTTCAAATTTTGTCTCTAAAAGATTAATGTGTTGAACGGTGATGCAAATGGCTAAATACGTGGGTTCATTTAACCCCATTTTGTTTGGATAGAAATTAAATTTTTAGTGATTTTTTTATAAAAATTAGTGAAATGTATAATTAAAAAATTGATAAAAATTAAGATTCATAAAATGTGTAATTTAAAATGAATATTAAAAATTAAGGTCAAACAGACTTTGCTTGATCTCCATTATTTCCAAAGTACATTTTACTTTCTGTTTTTTTTCAACCATCTATTTCTCAATAAAATAATATCACATATAAATTCAAAAAATTTTCTTATTTTTTTTTACCACGTATTCTCCATCAGTCTAATGTTACAAAATGCATTCTTAACCAAAAAAGAGATTCAAACAGGCGCTTAAATCCTCCATTTGTATAGTAGGTTACACGCCATGAACTTATTTAGCTCTTGTTTGGGCGCACGCGTGCGCACATATATTGAAACATGTATATTTTTTTTTTCTCAAAATTCATTTTCACTGGAGCCCAAAGAACGGCTTAGTGGTTTTTCACGCCACAACCCTTTTATAATCTCTCTCTCCCTCCCTCCCTCCTGCCTACGTGGGATAATTAGAACTCCCAGACTCATTTCTCCACCTAAGATACCAATTTTCACTATTGTATTTTTATTTTTTTACTCTTATCTCATATTAAATTCTAAAACACAATATTTATTTTATATTCCAAAAGTAGATTTTTTTAGTTTTTATAAGAAGAATTTTACTTAGTAGTAAGAGCTAAAATTTGTACATTATTTAGAATTTATTTATTTAATTAACTGTTTCGACTCGATTCGACCGTTTCACTTTTTTGGGTTGATGATTGATCTGATTTTTAAAATGGCATTGAAGATAATAATATATGTATTAAGTGGAAATCATTTATATTTGACATGAAATTGAATGATAGGATAAAGGGGTCTTATCGACCCTCATATGGGGTAGGTCTCACGTGGGCTTGAATGCAATAAAAAATGAAAAAAAATTCGACCCCATCCCTTACAAGAATTCTGTAGGGATTCTGTAATGTGTTGGGATTGTACGTCCAATATTGTCCTTTGAATGATAATATAAATTTGGAAAGGTGAAACTCATTTTAAAATCATTATCATTTAATATTACGCCACATAATGATTATTCTTAATTTGGTACATGTAACGTGAATCTTTATCGAAACTCTTAAGA